CCCCCCACCCCGTCCCGCGCCCCGAGCCCGGGCGCCTCCTCCCCGCACCCCGCGCACACAGCACCCCCCCGTTCGCGGAGAGCACCCCGTCCTCTTCATGCAGCCTCGGGCTGTCCCGTCCATAGGCGTGCCGGAGGTAGAAGGTCGACAGCACCCCCATGCGGGCCGCCCCGTCTCCACCGAGTCGGCCCTGGGCCCCCGAGGACCCCTCGGCTTGCCCTTGTCGGAGCGCGGCTTCCTCTTGCTGGTGGCCTCGAGCTGCGCAGCTTCGGCTAGGATCCCCTTCCTCAGCAGATCGCCGTGACAGGACTCAATCCTACCCGCGCATAGGAGCACAAGATCCGTGCCGTCTCGAACCTTCTGTGCCAGTTCGCGAAGCGCCGCCGACCGTGTCCTCCAGAGTCGATCGGCCTTGTCGTCCAGGAACGCATCGGCAGTCTCGAGGACGCGACCCTCGCTGGAGCGCATCTCCCTCGCCGGCGTGGCCCGGTCGACTCGGTGCCGCGTCGGCTCGCGGCGGCGCGCGCCGAGGCAGCATCACCCTGACCCTCCCCCCACATTGCATACGCCGCCCGGAGTGCCTCCGTGGCGCAGGCGCACCCTCCATAGTGCCCCCTGCGATCGAAGCACGTGCACTCCCTGGCCCTCCCAGTTGTGAAGGGCGTCGCGAGCTCAGGGTGTCTGCCGGATCTACTGAGATCCACCCGAAGATGCCCAGCGGGAGCCCAGACGGGCCTCGCTCGGCCACTTTGAGCCGATCCTCCAACTCCAGAACCTTAGCGGCCTGCTTCAGGCGTTCAGCCTCCTGGGCCTTCGACTGCGTCTCTTGGTTCTTCAACTGCATCTCGAGAGCAAGGGTCCGCGTGAGCACGTTGTCGCCGATGGGCTTGCCATTGCGGTCGTTGCGGAGAGGCGCACAGCGGCTCGTGGAGAGCTGAAGGAGAAGATGCGCCGCCAGTGCCAGCTTTTGTGTCCCCATCCACGCAGTCCGCGGCGACCGCTGCCGCTTAGCGGCAATTGTCCGCGTGGCAGGGACCCGAAGCGCCCCGCGTGGCAGGCCCCGAAGCGCCGACGACGAGCTCATAATTGTAATCGTTGCACAAACAGCAACTCCATCCCCCCCCTTTTGTATCAAACAGCAACTCCATCCCCCCCCCCCCCTAGGCGTCCTTTTGAATTTACTCTCTAAATGTTTGAATTTACTCTCACGCCGCGCGTGGGATGAAATTGTCACCTCGCCTCCCTCCCTGAAGAAAGAAAACGGACATCCCAAGGGAGGGATGGGAGGACGGCACGCCGCGACCTCGCCTCCCTCCCTCCCTCCCTCCCTCCCGAAGGGGATCTCGATTTTTCCAGACTTCACCCAGACTTCACCCATAGTGCATAGAGACGACTTCAGAGACCGTACACAAAGAAAAGAAAGAAAACGGACAACCCAAGGGTAGGGTGCCCACAGGACCCAAAAGAAAATAGCTTTCGGACTCAAAAAGGGACGCACGAGGCAAATCTGATGTTGGAGTGTTCCAATAGGAGCGAGGCCTCTTCCGTTGGGGGACCGAGTGACTAGGAAAAGAGGGTTCCCCGGTTTGTCACGCGCGAGCACGAGCGTGACACTGCACTTGGCGCCGAGCGCCCGCGGCTCAGACCTTGTGCAAGCCGACCCTCGGTGGGCACGCCGGTCCGGACCGATGGCGCTCGGTGTGGAGCAAGCAAGACCCCCCCCCCCCCCCCATCGGCGCGCGCTCGCCATTCCAACGGCCGCCAGGAGCACCAAGAGGACTCCTCATGGCTGTGCCCAAGTGGGCTTCGACCGGCCTCGGCTGGGGGGGCGAATTGTCCCGGCTGCGGACGCCTTCTGCAGCCCCCTGGGCCCGTGACAGCACCCCAAAACTGCCCCTCGGCGGCATACAGCACTGCCAGCCAGCCTCTTTGCTGCAGGCGCCTCCTGCAGGAGACGGTTCCGTTCTCCCGCCGGCCAAGCGGCAGCGACAGGACGAGTCGCATCTCGAGGCCACCGATTCGGAGGAGGAGAGGGAGGGCCAGTGAGTCTCGCTTTTCCTCGCCGTGTTCCTAAGTTCCGCTCGTGTCCGCTTGGGCATGGCTCGTGTGGCTTCGCCTTCGGCCTCGATCGGCCGTCCTTCGGCCTCGAACGGCCGTGTGGGGCCGCCTCGCCACGCCCACGGCCGTGCGCCGGTGGACGCGCTACGTACAACGAGTTTTTTGAAAACATTCAGCTTTCTGAAAAGAGCTAAGAAGGTAAGGAGGGAAGTCCACTGAAGTTCCACTGGGGGACTGCACTGCTGGCGGAGGCCAAGAAGAAAGAAAGAAAACAGACAAAGCAAACGAGGGATGGGCGGAGGAAGAAATAAAACTCTTGGAAAATTCTTTTTCTGTTTTGTTGGAAAATTCCGTTTGTGAAAATTCTTTTTCGCAGTAATTCTTTTTCGCAGTAGTGTACACATATCATTTTTGTGTGTGTATCTAGACTCATGCGCCCGCTCGCACGAGCGGCTCGTCTCGCCCGGCGTCCAAGGCGTCGCCACACAGGGGCCGCCCCGTCAACCTCGCACTCTGCGAGAACGCAGAGAGAAATGAAAGCCGACCGGCCCCCACCCAAGTCAGTCAAGTCCGGCTCACGCGCCCCGACCGACAGAGAGGGCCAAAGTGCTTCTAAGGTGCTTCTTTTTGTTTGTCTTTTGGCAGTGCGCGCCAGAAAGAAAGAAAGAAAACAGACAGCCCAAACGAGGGATGGGACGAGGACAAGGTCCCCACCTGCACGAGCAGGATTGGCAGTGCGCGCCAGTCCCGTAAAAATGCGCGGAAGGCGGACGCCGCGCTGCGAGCGGAGCGGCATGCGCACCTCGGAGAGACGCGCGGACGAAAGGCGAGCGGCGCGGCGCGGCCAGATCGGTCGGCGCCGATGCTCAGCCTTAGCAGCGAGATGCAGTGAGAGGAGGACCGAACGCGGCCAACCCCAGTGCTCAGTGGGAGAGGGCCGGGCGCGAGGGCGCGTATGTATAGATAGCTGGCTGGTGGGGCGCCGCGCGAGACGAGAGCGAGCGCGTGGAACACTTGTCTTGTCATGTACATCATGGATCTCAGCTCTTTCACACATGCCCCGCTCTCTCTACACCGTGTATGTAGCGAGTCGTCTCTAGTCGCCCACCAACGCGACCCGCGCGCGCCACCTCGCCGCGTCGGCCGGCTCGAGCGTCGCGAGCTCGCTCGTGGAGAGCTTGCCGTTGCGATCGGCGTCGGCCGTCCGCGTGGCGACGAAGAGGCGCTCGGCCTCTCGAACGTCGCTGGCGGGCACCAGTGAGAGCCAGCACTGCATGCTCTCCTTGGCGACCTTGGCCCACGCAACCACGCGCTCCGCATCCGGCGCGCTCTCCGCGAGCGCCTGCTTCAGCGCGTCCATGCCGTTGAGCGTGTTCTCGATGGCGGCCTGCCGCTCCTGCTTGTCGACCTTCACAGCAAAGTCCAGATCGTCGTACTTGATCGCGTTCGTGTACTGCACGCTCAGCCCAGCGAAGTAGTTGCGCTCTGACAGCGGGCCTCCGCCGAAGAAGGCGTCGAGCCGCTTCTTGAGTGCGGGCCACCGCGAGGGCTCCGGCGCGATGGCGGCCAGCGCGTCCAGCGAGAGCTTGAGCTCGAAAATCGGCTCCAGATACTCGATGCCAGGCCACGAGGCCACGCGTGCCGCGGCTGCCCGAGCCGCGATGGACGGCGGCACTCCGAGAGCAGCGGTAGCGGCGGCTGCGCCGAGGAGGCCGCGACGCGAGATGAGGTGCTCGAGCGGCCGTGGCGTCGTGAGGCTCAGCGCGGCGATGCAGTAGACGCTCAGTGCCATCGTCTGCGTGACCGTGCGCACGTCGGGCGTCGGGTTGTAGCCTGTCGCAGTCGGTCGGCCCAGATTCTTCTTTTTTATCGATCAACACTTTCGATAGACCGAAAGTAAGATCGTTCGGTGCAGAAACGCCGGCCATGCCCATGTAACGCACTTGTGCTCGCTTTTGGTTTAGAAGTGTCTCCAAGTCTTCTGGACCCATCGATGGCCGTCGCCTCGACGCCGCTCGTCGCGGCACCATCGTGCCCGGCCTGGGCGAAGCGTCGTCGCGGGTTCCCGCCGCAGTTCGACGGCAAGCCGTGCGAGCCTGCCGAGGAGGAGGACATGTGGCTGTGCAGAGCCGACGGCCGCGCGCGCAGCACCGCCGACCTGAAGCGCCTGGCGACCGCCGCTCGGGTGCGAGCGAAACGAGCAGGAGATGCAGCCGCCGCGAACACGCGCGATCGGCAGGCGCGCGACCAGCGCCGCCGGCAGCGTGAGCAGCACGACCGGCGCGCAGCGCCGGCGGTCGCCAAGACCGTGCGCCCACAACGCGGCCAGTGCGGCTGCCCGGCGCACGCGGTGTGCGGCATGTGCGTCGACCAGGGCAAGCTCGCCGCGGCCGAGCAGGCGGCCATCGACCTGGAGACGCGCTTCCACGCCTCGACGAACGTCGTCATGGACCTGGAGCGGCCCGAGGACGAGACGGCGGCGCTGCTGCAGCGCTGCGTGCACGTCTCCGACGAGACGAAGCGGCGGCTGCTGGGCGAGTGGAGCGACGAGCGCATGGCGCACGCGCTGCCGCTGCACGCATGCGCCTCGTGCGGCGTGCGCGACCCGTCGCTGATGTACACGCGGGTTGACGTGTCGGCGCTGCCGCGTACTGTGTCTAGGACGACGGTGCAAGCATGTCCGAGGGTGAGTAGAAGTGTGTGGAGGTTTGGTAGGCTGTAGCGTCGTCGCGCGTAAGAAGAGTGGTACTGTCCCGTTTTGCTGTTCACAGCTAGGGACGGCCTCTGCGGCAAAGAAAAATCATCCCCACCACCCTCCCTCCCTACCACCTCCCACCACGGCAAACCTTCGGCTCCCGCTCAGAGGCTCACCGGGCCCGTGCGGCGCGCCGAGGCGGCGCCGAGGCCGGCGCCTTGCACCCGGCCCGCGGCCGGCACCGCCTCGCCCCACAACTGACCGCCCTGCGGCCCCTGCGCAGGCGTACCACAGCGTCGCTCAAAAAGCGACGCCGGGTGTGGGCTGCTCCCTTGACCCGTCACCCGCCGCGCCCTCGCCCGGCCGCCTCACCGCTCACGGAGCGTGCTCGCCGCCGCCGCCGCGCGTCCCGCGCCGCCACGCATGCCCCTTGCCCTGACGCGCGCTCTGCAGCGGCGCAGAGCGCGCGTCCCTGGCACAGACGGAGCAGCGGCCGCGCCAGCGGTCGCTGCTCCGCCCCCCCGTCGCGCGCGCCACGCGCGCGCTGCCGCCGCCGCCGCCGCCGCCGCCCCCTCCTCGCCGTCTTCCCCACCCTACCCTCTGTTGCGCGCGCCGCGCAGCCGCGCTGCGCGCCCCCGCCCCCGCCCCCGCCCCCGCCCCCGCTCCCAAGCGCCCCTTCCCCGGTAGGTGTGCGGAGAAAGTAGAACCAATCGAGAGGTGGCAGAAGCCGCCGTGTGTGACACATATTGCGGCACGTGAGAGTGAGACAGAGCCCCGGCAGCGGCCAGCGCGCGCGCGCAGCGGCCAGCGCAACAGGCGTTTCAAACAGCAAACGGGACGGCCTGCGCAGCCTCTAACTATGAAATTTAGAAAAGGAGTTGCGGTGTTGATCGCCGCGGGAGCCCTCTTATTACAAACTTTCGCACGCTCAGCACCTGGACGAGGTCACATGGACCACCAAGAACTGGCACGGGCTGCAGATGCAGCGCTTGTCT